TAAATGGGGCTCTCAATGGGGGAAACAGTTTTAATATTAACGTTAAAATTATGGAAATTTCGTTTTAACTTGTTTTTAAGCATAAAATAAAAAGAAAATTTGTCTGTTTGTTGTGTAAGATGTAATTTTATTTCATCTCGTGAACTTTAAAAACAGTATTCTCACTCGTAGCTTCGCCACTCGTGAGAATACTGTTTTTAAAGCCCACTCGATGAAATAAAATTTCATCTTACACACAAATAAACAAATATCCTCTATATCATATATGAGTACTTTGTGGTTTTCTTTAGGAGATTTTATAACATCGTTTTAGCAGGATTATTCTGATTGAGAAACACAGTGCTATGTGGCATTGAAATTACAAATTTGCATAACCAATTGAGATGCATGCAGTAAAACATTATGCTAGTTGGAAATAAATTTAACATTTGTTTATAACATGCAAATTACAAAAAAACGAAGTGGTACTTTTGATTCAAATCGAATGTACCTGACGACGTTTCATTCCTTCCAACGTCACATTCTACACTAACGGTCCAGTTGTAGTGTCTAATTATAAAGGAATGAATTGGGTCTCGCTCTGCATACACAAGCTGGTTTCTGTACATAAGAACATCATTTCTAATCTGTAAAGAAATAAAATATTTTGTTTTGAATTTCAAACATTGCTAAAAAAATAAGAGCAAACCTTTTGCAAAAAATTACATTGAAATATAAATAAAGTAAAAGAACAAGCTGCAGACTTCTATGTTAAACGTCCTAAATATATTCATTCAATAAAAATGTAAAGCAGAAAGTTATATTTCAAGATTTAATCAAGAAAGATTTAAGAAGGTTTAACAAAGGTTTGACTCGGTTTCACTAAGTCTGCATATTAGAGATAATGAAAAAAGAGCAACATCCTTCGTTCCTCCTTAGCACCGGCTTAAGCGATAGTCAATTTTCAACATTTAAAAGTGTTGGAATCAATGATCAAAAGAATCAGAAAAATATGACAACACTGAAGTGAAGTATGGGGCAGCTTTTTACATCTGCCCATTGCAATTGACATCTACTGTTTTGAAATATATATCTGAGATCTATAAAATTATTAATTTGATTAAACATATTTAATCTATAATTCCAGGCAAACATATTTACGAAATTTGCTTTACACATTCTTCATTCACATAACTCAAAAAAACTAAACCTCAGTGGATCAGGAACTTAACAATTTGCACGTTTGAGTTCATCAGAACAACTTGCAATCAATTAAAACACTTACAGTTTGACTAGTGAGACACTCATGTAATCCTTGTTGAAATGTGATTGTATTCCAGCCTTGTGTACCAGTACACGTATTCTCCCCTAAATAAATATCTGAAGCCACAGCACCAGGGTGTATATTTCTCAAAACAGTAAGGTCTACTCTAATATCCCATCCGTTCTCATCACATCCAACCCGTATTGCATCTGTCAGGCTATATCCTAAAGAAGAGCACATATATATAAACTAAGTAACACTGAAAGACATGGATATGTGAAGGTTCATTAAATTTATTCCATTTTTTCCATTCAGTCGCAGATATTCGTGGAAAGTCATGGGGTATTAAAATGTAATATAAATGCCAGTGAAAAAAATTAGATATTTTGCTGTTTATCAAAATTTTGGTATCCGTATTTTAATGTTAAATGCACTTACTTTCTTCTAGTTAGCTTATTAGTGCTACCTATTGTTATTAGCATTGTTAAAAAATATGCTATGCGACGAATTATTAATAATATTTGTAAATTCCTCAATTTTTCTCTATTACATTTTACACCGTTTAAAACATGGACAATATAGTATCAATCTATATTAGTCAATTGACAAAGCAAGATCAATTGTTGATCTATATATTGCTTAAGAATATACTATGCTCATCCTTGGTTAAAATATTCAAATCACAGATATTTATTGAAATCTATGGAATCTTACTGATATGTCTTACTTTTTTTAATAAACTAATGAATAACCAGTGTATGGGAAGCTGCGTTCCTTATTACACGTCATGCAAAGTTGGCATTTTCTTTTTAAAAAAAATTACCAAGACTTTCTCAAAAATGTTAATCGGAAAATGAAATTGGATAAAAGAAAGATTCTTCTGTTTGTTGATAATGCCCCGTCACACCCAAATATGGATCTGAGCAACGTCCAGGTCCAGTTCCTGCCACCTAATACCACTTCCCTTACCCAACCAATGGATCAGGGAATAATCCAGGCTACAAAACTCAAAATTAGGAAACGTCAGCTACTTTATTATTTTATTCAATTGTTGTCATATTGCTTGATCAAAGAATGACTGTAGAATTTATATCTATCATAACAAAAACAGTAGAAGATTTTTTTTAATTCATATAAATAACTTAAATTTTGTCTGTTGTTTCCTTAAATACAGTACAAGATCTATTTTAATTATAAAATAATAATAATAAAAAAATGTTGTCCAATCTAAATGACAATCATTTCAACATGAATTTTCAAGTCTAGTTGCAAGCAAAAGTAAACAGTCAAAAATAAGTGATTTTTTCAATAGGACAACTTAAATGAAAGACACAATGTGATTCTGACATTATTTTATTAGTTTCATAATCATGAATTTTAAATATCAATAACATTGTACATGTATAAATTTTTAACACGGTAAAGAAACAAAATAATTCTGAAAGTTTAATAATTTTATTAAATATGTAAACATTAATTTTTAATAATCAATTTTACAATCAAATATTCAATAGCACTTTACATGTATACAATTTTTAACACTGTACACACTTTTACTGCTCTTATCATAAATAAATGTTTTAACACTAAGTGTATATGCTGTATTAGTATTATTTAGTTAACTTTTTAATAGTGTTTGGATGTTTTACTGTAAACCTATATTAAGAGACTCCCTGTCTTATGTGACTTTCTTAAGAAAGTCCCCTGTAGGGTCACATAAGACAGTTTTGGCTGTATATTCATATTGTGACCACATATAGTGAGTATAATTTTAAACATATTTATATTAAACATATTTACTTTGAGTGGAACCTAAACATTTATATTTATTCTATATTTACACAGAGACTGTCTGTTTAGTAGTTAATAACATTTTCTAATATCAAATTTGAGCATAGTATATCTTTAATTGTACTTTAAATTAGGAATCGTTGATTACCTTTAGTAGATAAGTACCATGGTCTGTATGTAGTAGATGTATAGTAACTATCACTGGTATAATATCCCGAGTATTTAGGCAATGTTACTCCTCCATATGCATTACCTGCAAAAATGTACTTATGTAAATAACAGTACTGTATTTATTAAAGACATTTAGTGTGATATAATCATAAATGTGTATACGTGTTTTTGCTATAAACATCGTACTTATGTTTTATTTGCAATACCGTTATCAGTTTTTGTACATGTATATTGCGATTTTCTAAATATCATTCTGAATTGAGCGTTATTACACATTAATGTTCATACGTCTTAAATTTACATTCAGTTTTACAAAAGCATTCTTTTTTAGATTGTACTTTTCCAAAATATATTTATAAATGTTAATAAAGCTCATCACAAATTGTATAAGTACCGAATAATGCGTACGTCCTCGTATCTTTTCTATTTTACAAACTGTTACATACCATGACAATCAACACCAGCATCTTCACTATGTCCACAGTCATTCTGGTACCAGGCGGATCTCATGCACTGTGTTATATCCGTCTCGTAGCCATTACAGTTCAGATTATCAAGAGCAATTTGGCCGCTTCCTTGTCCAAAATGTGCACTTGAGTAAGGTCTACCATAACTGTAACATAAATGGTCCGATAATAGTTTTCACTGATACACTGATAGTCAGAATTCATAGCGTTTGTATTGATACCATTCAAATTATTGACCGTTTTGATCATCATTATAACAAACGTTAAAATAAGCCATTATAATACTGCATGTTTATAACGGCGCTTTTCAATGGATAATCGTGACGTTAATATAAACTATATAGGGTCAATTGACCTGTCATACATCTTTAGAACTAATCACATATATGTAATAATGTCATATACAGACTACAACATGTTCATCAATGTCGGCTGAGATCGAAGCAGAGGAATTGATAATGAACGCGGGAAATATGATACATCTGAAAACGGTAAAACATGCTTTCAAAAATATTTGAAAATATACCTATCACCGATATACATTCCAAGCATTTTACAAATGACCTTGACCGTTCTATTATTAACATCATCGTCGCAAACTGTTCCCCATGCGCCGTTGTGATAGACCTCCATTCGCCCCGAGTAATATGTTGGTCCATTTACAAGCCGTATTGGTGTTCTAACTAGAAAAAAAATGAGCACAATATAAAAATAATCCTTCTAAGGGTAAACCTTATTCTTTTCCTTGATATTTGACTTCATTAGAATCTAAACCATGTAAACAAAACGGTCAACTATCTCTGGTGTTTAATTTATCGCTTTCTAATGGCAGTGTATATGTATAAAGAGTTTACCCTCTGTAGTTTCTCCTGCATTGTTGTACCACCAAGGCGTTGTCACATCATAAGCTGTTGAATAGAAAAAGCGATAAAAGTAACTGTTGATATAAATGAGAATTTTTTTAGCTATAAAAATAAATAAAATCACTCTCTCACCAACTCACTCACTCACTCACTCACTTACTCACTCACTCATAAGTTTTAGTTAAATTAAATCATAAAATATTCATAGCCGAAATGTCTTTTGTTTTTTTATCATAAACGATGCGACAAAGGAAGTAAAAGGCAGCCAAGGAGTGCACGTCAATATAATTTACAAAAATTACTCTAATATTTTGATAATGAAAGAACATTACATGGACATCACTTTAAATCCACAGACATCCTAGAAATCACTTAATCATGTTGCTACAACTGTTACTGTTTGATTTATAAATTATAAAAATAGGAATAAAGGAATTTGTTAAACGAAGAAGTGCCAACTCTTACCATAGCAATCAACTCCGGCGTCTTCGCCGTGGCCACAGTCATTTGAAAACCATGCTTTAGTTCTACAATCCCAGATGTGATCCTCATAACCATTGCAATTAAGATCATCTAGTGCTATACTGCCATTACCTTTCCCGTAATAAGCTGATCCATACGCTATAGTGCTACTACAAGAAACATGGTTTTACTTGATTTACTACATAGGAACAAATAATTGAAAGAGTAGGAAATATAGTTAATCAGTAAAAGTGTAAGTGGATTTTCTATTCTTAAATAAAAAAAAAACATTTTTTTTTCTCAAAAATAAGTCTATAATCTAAACTCAACTCTTAGATACAAAAATAAAGGATAAAGAAAAATCATTTATGTACTTTTAAACATCTAATCTACCTGTCACCATAGAATATTCCTAGTTGTCTACACACAGTCCTCGCCTCATTTTGTCCAAAACTGTCGTCACAAATTGTCCCCCATCTTCCACTATGATAAACTTCAACTCGACCAGAATATTTGCTGCTACCATTTACAAGACGTATTGTTACTGTAATAGTCAAAAAGTAGTCATCAAATTAATTATGTCTTGGCAAAAGGAATTTACAACATGATAAATTAGATTTACTTTTTCAATTACTTTAGAATAAACCTTTACCAATGGAACTAACCTCTTTATCTCCAAATGTAAGCTTCTTTGTACTGTAAAATGAAGTACGAAAAAAATCTGTTATTTTTTTGCTTTGTAATATAAACTGTAAAATCCTATTGGACTCTTACTGATTTTGATTAAGGTATAAACTTGTACTACGCGAATAAATAATTTACTCTTTTACAATGTTTAAGACGACCATACTCTTAATAAGTAAGACATGTCAAAAAGTTACATTCAGTTTAACAAAATAATTGAATTGTAAACAAGTGACATGATTATTGTTATTAAATATTGTATAAACCAATGATTTAAAGGGACCCTTTTAAGTTTTAATAGGACCGGAATGGAGATTTGTGTACCATGAAATAATCATGTAGGTTTGGACATATTACTAGTTTGCAAAAAAATTAATCTACTCTTACCGTATTCCAGAAAAATTATGTAAACTGTGCAAAATAATTTAAACAATAAATGCGTTTCAACACGTTTAACTCAAAACAAGCTCAACTTGCTCAAAGAAATGATTTTCAATTTAATTTTGTATATATTTCTTTATCATCTCTTTCACATTTTCGGTTTTATGTCCCTCATTTGATTAGATGTAAGATTTTCTATGTTGGTTAAACTTTTGGACTCAAGTGGAGCTCCTAAAGAAATAAGCGTATAAATTCGTGTACGATTGTAAGTTTTATATGTACCGTTACAAGAAACACCAGCGTCTTCACCATGGTCACAATCTTCATGATTCCATCCAGAAGATCGACAGACTACTAAACTACTTTCGCTTCCGTTGCACTGCAAGTCATCAAGAACAATCCTTCCACTGCCCGGACCAAAATGTGATTGTTGAAATGCCATAACATCACTTAAAGGGAAACAGAACTGTTAAAGAATTTTATTTCAAATAAAATAAGTGAAAAAACAACAACAAAAACATGTCCTTACTGACGAATTATGAAGTATGAATTAAAGCTATGGCTAGTTATATTTTTATTTCTTTGAGAAACAATGTTTTTGAAAACGATTTCGAAAATCGCAAGGAAAAATCTAACCATCTATGGACATTTATGAATTAATAATTTTTAAAAATATTAAACTGATGGAAATTGTACAGCACCCATGTACTTGCAACTTTTTTATATTAATCTGTGAGAAAAAAGATTTAGTCCTTCAGATAAGTTTATATCGTTTTTTATATTTCAAATAAATACCTGTCATAGCTCAACATCCCTAGCATTCGACAAATGACCTCAGCATCAGGCCGATCGAAGCTGTCGTCACAAACAGTGCCCCATGCTCCACCATGGAATACTTCAACCCTTCCAGAGTATGGATTATTACCATTTACAAGTCGAATCGGAATGGCAGCTTTATCATATATATAACTTACTTTGAAAAGTTGGTCAATATATTTTAATACAAATATTAACTTTACAAAATGTAAACAAAGGAATATCTTGACTTCCATACAAAAAGCTAAATCACTATTACTTTACTTTGCCAAAAAGCAACAGAAGCAAAACATGGTTCAGGTAATAGGACAATGAGGCACTTATAACCCGACACTTACATTTGTTTTATATAAATTGGCCATTTGTGAACGGATTTTGTTCAATGTTAGACCATTCAAAATTCAACATATCATACTTTCTTCTTAGATTTTTATCCACAATTCATTGACAAGAAAATAGAGAAAATAACAAAACAAATATGCTTAAACGAAGAAGTGCCATCCCTTACCATAGCAATCAACCCCAGCGTCTTCGCCGTGGCCACAGTCATTTGAAAACCATGCTTTAGTTCTACAATCCCAGATGTGATCCTCATAACCATTGCAACTTAGATCATCTAGTGCTATACTGCCATTACCTTCCCCGTAATAAGCTGATCCATACGCAAGAGTGTGACTACAAGGAACATGGCTTTAATTGATTAACTAAATAGGAATAAATAATTGAAAGAGTGGAAAATAAATAGTTAATCAGTTAAAGTGTAAGTAGATTTTCTATTTTAGAATAAAAGTACAGAAATAATCTATAATCTACACTCTAAGCTGCAAGAAAGATAAAGAATAATGTACGTACTTTAAAAAACATCTAATCTACCTGTCACCATAGAATATTCCTAGTTGTCTGCACACAGTCCTCGCCTCATTTTGTCCAAAACTGTCGTCACAAATTGTCCCCCATCTTCCACTATGATAAACTTCAACTCGACCAGAATATTTGCTGCTACCATTTACAAGACGTATTGTTACTATAATTGTAAAAATGTACTCATTTCATTAATTATATTCTAGCAAAAAGGAATTTACAACATTATAAATACATTTTCTTTGTAAATTTCATTTCCAGATGATAAATCTTTAATGATGGTATCAACTTATTCATCTTAAAATGTTTTCTTGTTTGTACTGTAAAATGATTTAGGAAAAACAATCTGTAATGTATTTTGCTTAGATAACCTATTGGACCCTTACCGATTTTTATGTATGTATTAATTTGTAACAAGTTACAATAAAATAAATAATTTACTGATTTACAATGTTTAAGACGATGATACTTAAACAATAAGTAATTGATGTCAAATAAGTTGCACACAGTTTAACATAATAAATGAAGTGGTATGATTATTTTTAATCAATATTAATAAACTTATAATCTAAAGAGACCCTACTAAGTTTTTAAAGGACCAAACATACAAACCGAACAAAGACTTCGGATTTCGAGATTTGCGTACCATTTAATTTTAATGTAGGTTTGGATAAATAACTCGTTCGCTAAAACGAAGCTCCGTTTTCAAGAAAAAAAAGTAAATTAGGCAAAATAAAATAAAATCGTGTCAACGCGTTTAACTCTTATCAAACTAAAACTGCTCAAAGAAATGATTTTTAATTTAATTTTGAATATATTTCTTTATAATCTTTTGCATAGTTTCCGCTTTATGTGCCTCATTTGATTTTATATAAGACTTTCTATGTTGGTCAGACTTTTGGACTTAAGTGGGGCTCCTAAAGAAATAAGCGTTTAAATTCGTGTACGATTGTAAGATTTATTTGTACCGTTACAAGAAACACCAGCGTCTTCATTATGATTACAGTCTTCATGATTCCATCCAGAAGATTGACAGTCTTCTAAACTACTTTCGCTTCCGTTGCACTGCAAGTCATCAAGAACAATCCTTCCACTACCCTGGCCAAAATGTGCTTGTTGAAATGCCATAACATCACTTAAAGAGAACCAGAACAGTTTAAGAATTTTATTTCAAATAAAATAAGTGACAGTAGCTTGTAATTAACAAAAGTAAAATAAAACAACAACAACCAAATATGTCCTTATAGAAGAATGATTTTAAGTAAAGGCTACAGCCTTTAGTAAGTCATATTTTAAGTTCTTTAAGATATTTAAAATGGTTTTGCAAACGATTTCGAAAATTGCAAGGAAAAGTCTAATCGTGCTTGGACATTTATATAGTTATAAATAATTTAAAACCTATCAAACTATATAGCTTTTAGCTTCACATGTAGGTATGATAAGGAAATGTCCTCTGTCATAAATGGAAATTGTACAACGCCCGTGTCCTTGCAACGTTTTATATTAATATGTAAGGAAAGATATCATAACTAAGAAAAGATATCATAACTATGTTTTAGATATGTCTTTTTCATTAACTTTTGTTCAAATTATTTCAATGAAATACCTGTCATAGCTCAACATCCCTAGCATTCGGCAAATAACCTCAGCATCAGGCCGATCGAAACTGTCGTCACAAACAGTGCCCCATGCTCCACCATGAAATATTTCAACTCTTCCAGAGTAGGGATTATTACCATTTACAAGTCGAATTGGAACGGCATCTTAAAGATGTAATTAATCTATTTAGATTAGTTTGTCAATGTCTTTTAATACAAATATAAACTTTACAATCAAATTTGAAAATTTATTGATGAGAATACATATATGTATGTGGAGTTTGTACAATGGTCGGATTAAACTCCAATTACTCGGAACTTGATCAAAACAAAAAAGAACAAAAATTAACGCACAAAAATCTAATTCCTAATTTTACAGTTATTAATGTTATAATATTATTCACATTATGCGCCAGAAACGATAATTTTGTTCCTCTTTAGTAAAGGCGAACATGTGTTATAATATAACATATGAATAATGGTTTTAGAAATGATGAGATGCTTATGATATGAATGTGATAGTATTTGTTATAAAAGTAGCAAAATTTGAACATAATGGTTCATTATCTATCATTCGACTATGACATATTAAGCATTTTCATATAATTAGCATTGGAACCAGATGCATGGTTTGACAATGATTTTACATAATTGTCACATGTATTATTATATCACAACCTGTATATATTCTCCAGAAGAAACTGTCTTTGATATCAGCAGAATCAGACTCCATTCCACAATAGGAATTGCTTCTTACAACACCTGAAATTATAAAATCGCTTTTCACTTATCAAAAATAAACAAATTTTCACGGTTTCCTGTCTCCTTGATAACTCTAGTGTATAGGTTAATAATAATGAGTGTGTGATAAATAAGGTATTGTTAGCAAAGGCTAAAATGCTGTTTTGTAAGTACCATTGAAATAAATCTAGATTTAAAAAATATCACAAATCTGTGATTGCTGAAACACGACTATACTTACAGTACAGTTTTTTCTAGCCTTTTTTAAATTAAAAAAATGAATCAATGTTAATATTAAATAAAACTCACCGGCATCAAACAGAAAATAATATGTCTGATTTTCATGAAATGTGGTGTTAGTCCTAAACTCCAAGGAGTTGTTGAAACCATTGATAGATACTCGGCTTCTATCAGAAGCAGCAATGTTCTCTAGTAGAGATCCTCGTTCACTGTATAGCCGAATGTAATGACCCGAAGAACCACGAGTAAACTGCAAAATATTAAAATGTCACCATGTAAAACTGTGGTGATTTTATCTGTACAACAACCACGTTTCAAAATACAATAAAACAATTTTAAAAATGAAGAAATCAGTGGGCAGCAACACACATTTTTAGTACATATCCCTATTTAACAGCGTTTGAAAGGTCATACGAATAGCATAAGAACACGAAACAAAAATCAATTTAGATCAATGTGTATGTATTGCACTAAACGAAATGAGCAAAATTACAAAATTAATTATGTCATCTAACCTATGCTTTTGTCAAGTTAAGAACGGTACTGTTTTACTTCAAATCTTACAAAGTCCTTAACAATAAGACAAATAATAATTCTAATATTTTGAATGTTTGTGGTCTTCATATAAATAACAAGATGGTTTTACTCACGAATAGCATAAGAACACGAAACAAAAATCAATTTAGATCAATGTGTATGTATTGCACTAAACGAAATGAGCAAAATTACAAAATTAATTATGTCATCTAACCTATGCTTTTGTCAAGTTAAGAACGGTACTGTTTTACTTCAAATCTTACAAAGTCCTTAACAATAAGACAAATAATAATTCTAATATTTTGAATGTTTGTGGTCTTCATATAAATAACAAGATGGTTTTACTCACTTGTCTATCTACCCTGATGCTCCAAAGTCTTTGATCTGGTGAAACCAAACCTGTTGGTCCTTGGGACCCATACACAAACTGTGGCCTCGACACTATCATTTGATTGTGAATAAGTTAACAGTAATTCTTATAAGTAATAGTGTTTAAAAAATTCATTCACTGTTACTTGCAATGATATAAATATTATTTAGTACATGTTGACTGGAAATCTGATTTTAAAACATTGTAAAGATTTAAATTTAAGATTTGGTCTAATTGTGTTAGTCGCTATACAGTAGCTTTATTCTTAATTTTTCTATTCACTATGATAAACCTATTTATGTACTTAAATTCTATTGTTTTGATAGTTACCTCCAGAAAGCAATGTGATGCACCTTTTGTCACTTTGTTGCCTAAATAAAATATGTTAATACATTAAAAATGATACAGGAAAACTTATAACGATTCAATTTATTTCCGGTCTTTTCCAGCATTTACATGATATTCAGTTTTCATTTTTATATTAATTGTTTTTCACTTTATATTTCATGTACACAGTATATTTAGATAAATAAACGCTTAGATAACATGGAATCGGTCTTTAACCTTCAATACAGTCCATGTCTCAATTGTTGTGCTCTTAGAATAAAGCAAATTTTTATAAATAAATATGTTTCACGGACGTTTTGATTTATATAATGCAAATTATTTGCATACGGATCACAAATCTTAATGGAAAAATTCTGGAAGGGTAATAATATTATTTAGTTTGATTCTCACGTTTTCCTTAATACTTTATTGGAAGCTCTTGATCAATGGGTAACAGGATATGTGAAATCAAATCCCTGTCAAGACAACTGATTTCTTTAAATGACTTTTCTAATGAATTTAAAACTTCTTTTCTTAAGTGATATGCTAAGATATGCAAAAAAAAAATGTTAATTTTGATAAAAAATTAATAATGTACAAAAAATGATATTTAAGTGCAAATTAGAAACGCTGGCCAAGCAAAAATTTGTATGCATCCGTCCAAAATTATTATAGCAAAACATATAGATGGTAAAAGTGTTATTTATTTCTAGAACTTGTTTATATATACCCAAAGATGTTTTTGAAGTTGGTGCTATTAGATTTTCTACATACGAACACTGGTTTTTAGTTCTGTCATTTTTGAGCCTTTGAAAATGTTGCTAATTTTTGTGCAGGCATTTTCTATATTTAGAATTATGACTTACACTATGTAAATAATAACAAAAGTTATCAAAAACTGATTCCTATTGGTGACCTTTAGGATCTTTAATTTTAATCCTTAATTGTAAACAAAACAAAATTTGCAATACGATTATTAAAATGACATCAATGATATTGCGTATAACATGTAACAACAAACAAATGTATATGCTTATTGTGTTTTCGTTTAAAATGATGAAAAATTAATACCCATACTCGTACACAGATGGTATAAATTTTACAGTCTTTAAAGTGATCCCCTGAGGTCCAAAAAAATAAATTATTAAACTCGCCGCTCTCAAAAGAAGTAATGTTTAATTATTTCTCAATAATAAGAAAATAAAATAAAAGCGACATAAATTTTGCTTCATAGTTGATATCGTAGATTAAGAATTTCTTTGATGCCGTGCGTCAAGGTTGTTTTAAGATTACATGGAGAGGTTATCATAAGTACATACCCGGTCGTGTCTGTCGCCGTGAAACAAAACACATTACTTGTGTCGTTGATAGCAGTAGGCGTCCATGTCACATTTATCTGCCAAGTGCTTGCATTTATTTGCATTAAGGGTGATTTAACCATCCCTAGTGGCGATACTGTCTTTATCTCTGCAATACTAATCATTCAAAATTGATGAGATACCTTTAATTGTTTGTGATTTGCACTTAATGTTTGTTTACATAATTGATACATGTCTAAGAGCAGCATACGCGACGTAAACAAGATAACACAAGGGGGTATTTTTGAAGAATAGTGTACTTAAACAGGGTGTTATCACGACCCTTGAGATGTTAAGTAAATTAGTACAATATACGTGCCGGGACCGAGAACCATAATTATTATCTTGTAAGATCTTAATATGATATGTATTCCATGCTTTAAAATACTTCATAACTTTGGAATAATGAAGTAGCCATTGTAGTATCCCAGGAGAAAAATAGCCAACGAGTTATGTATATTCACAAAATGACAAGTGAGGTCCTGTGACATGGCGTGCCGTGGCGTCAAAATTTGAAAACAATGATTTAAATTGGTGGAAAGTTATAAAGTGCTTAATATGGGTGAATTAATCTCCCTCCTCTGCCCTCAATTGCATTGTTTTAAATAGCAGTAATGCTATCTCCCGTTGGAAAATAATATTTCGATTATTGCAATTTTGTATCATCTTATGTTTTTATATCTTTTCAGATGGTAATGTTACTTTCTTTTATTCTAGTGCTTTTAGATTCACAAAAGGAAATGATCTGAAACCTCTACACTTAAAAAAATGTTTAAAAGAAATGTTCATTTTTTTATATATATTCATGTAGTTTATTAACAAAACACATTTCCACATTTCGGTTTTCTCAAAATTGTGAGATCGAAAGTTGACCTGTACATTGCCGGTACTAAAAGGCAATGTCAGAAAAAATGAAAACAATATTAGGTAGAATTACTTTAATGGCAAAACTGTATCGCCAGTCGGTTCAGTTGCGTAGTTGCATTGCTGCAATTGCATACTGAACAACTATTTTTGGCTGTGGTTTATGTTGCACCAACACAACAGAGGTCACATGGCGACTTTCCAGCTTTACTGGTGGAGGAAGACCTCAGATGCCACGCCGTACATTAGTTCTGGCGCGAGCGGGCACCTGAGTAGAACCATCCGTAGGCTAGCTGGATAGCTTCCTCGCATAAAAAACCCAAAGCACCAAGTAGGATTCGAACCTACAGCGATGAAGGGCAATTGGTTGGAAGTCAACAACCGTAACTATTCAGCCAGGGACGCCACTTCTGTTCCAGACAGCTTAATAGAAAACAAACATCACCGATGTAGGCCGGGTAAAATGTACGCGTAACATTTATACATTAAACATTACGATGTTAAAAAAAACGTAACGAATCTTTTATCGTCATATACATGTATAAGCATGTAACAATGTATGCATATACAGCTGATTAAAACTTGTTTTGTAAAATCTTAGGGATTCTGAGGCGTAGTCGCATTTAGGAAGCAAAATGCCTCTTAAGAATAATAATAAGAGTGCAAAAACTTAAAAAAGGGTTGAATTTCAATTATTTACAATTTATTAAAACATTTATGTGATCTTATAATTAATTTGAATTTACGAAGAAAAGCGTTATACGAGCGTACGTGTACCCGTGTATATAAAATACGAGTACGTACCTTCTGTTGTAGCCATCAATATGCGCAGTAATTGTTGTTTCAAATGTCTCGTTCTTGCGGACAACAATGCAATCTCCATCATGTGGCGATGGGTCGATTAGTGCAGGTTTTACTGAACATGAATCGTGAGACCGATATACTTGTACAAGAAATTGAACTGGTATACTGCTGAGCGGGGATATGTCATATTGGTTTGCAAAATCCTCAACCTGAATTGCTACGGCATACCATCCCATAGAATACAGCGCATCATATGTTAACGTGCAGGTATCCTATATTAACATATAATGATGTACAATAAAAATAGGAAAGCTTTCAGACATTTTGCTTTTTATTTGTTTCTTTTACATTGTAGTAAGCTATGTAAGTAATCGTATTAACATGTTAGCCTATATCAATATATGAAATACTATCAGGTAGGCAGTAGTTATTAATTTTCTGAATGTAAAATGTTCTAAAACAAAAGAATCCGGATGATTTTAAACTACTTTTATATCAGCCAAATGGACAAATGGAGTACTTACAGAATCAAGATATGCGTGTGGGAATGCATTACATACATCGGCACATTCATCTTTAGAGTCACTTGCCCATCGGCATCTGATAGTATCCCGGTCAGGATCTGTGACTGATAAATTATATCAAATATTTCTGATTAATCTAACTTATAAAACATGCAATACATCGTAAAATCTTCTACTCATTTTTCAATATATTCAAGATATATGTCAAGATTCAATATATTTAAACCTATCTCTTTTAGCATATCGTGAATGATTATCATTTTTACCTGGTATTGTTATTGTATGGTTACAATTGTATTGCAGTCTAACTATTGGTGTTATTTCCGCCCTAGGGGAGGAGTTGATTCTTCCAGTGTCTGGTCTTACACTAAGGTCAGCGTTAATAAGTAGTTTCCAGCTACCATCACGACCAACGTTAAGGGTACTTATCCAGTCACCACCCGTAAAGCTTTGTTTGAATGTAAATAAATCACGAAATGTATCCAAATTTGGTTAAGGAGGGATAGTCAGACCGAACATTAGGTTAATAAGATATCAATATTTAAAACATGAAAAGTAATGCTAACTAGTCAACCATTTTAATTTATATTTAATAGATATTTGAAAAAATGTCTGGTGATTGATTATAGATTAAACTAGAAACCGAAGATTGTCGTTTCTTGTTAAACGATATGTCTGTACTTAAGACGTAAAAGTCTAAAGAATTGTTTAAAACAACATCATCAAAAAAGCCATATATCTACCCGAATGTCGCATTTGTCGTATTCAGAGTTGCAATGACACGCCCCTTTCCTGAAGACCAGTCTTCTATTGTACTGTAGTCAGTACACTGGAAGGCTAAAGATCCTAGTGTCCCATGACATCCACTAAAACATGCTATACTACCTTGGCCATTTCTTTCGTCGCCATTTTTGATGATACTATCATTACAATAAAAATTAGCGCCATTTGACAGTCGCCAAGATATCCGGTAATCAATTATGATTTCATTCTGAAATGAAGTAAATGTAATATTTACGGTTATTAGGAACTTATCTACACTAATTCATTTACACATGTCCCTACGTAATAATGTTCTATGTAAAATGAAAATATGCGCTTATCGACATAAAACTTTGAATTTTTAAGAAAAAACAAAGCAAAATGTAAAACATAATTGTTTCAAAACAGTTAAGTACTTATTATATAGAAATCACACGTACGCCTCAAGATGTGTTTGTTTTCTCCTGTCTTGTCGACAATTTCAATACATTTTGGTCAATAAGGCTAGATATATAAATTTACGATTGTACAAAAGATCAAATCTCAATGTGTTGAGTTCGAGTTTTAGTCAAACTGTCTCTACCCACAAGACATTTACGTTGTCCCAAAACCAAATGTCGTTGTTAATGGTCTAAACCCAATATTAAAGTGTAAGAAACCAGATAACTGTGTAGGCAGAGCACTGAAACATGATTGTCACGACTATAATTCAAATAATTACCTCGCAAAATGTAACATAACATTTGAATGAAATACCTTGCTAGATCCCGGTTTCCAAGAAAATAAAGCTCCTCTAAAATGGGTTGCATTCGTTTTAGATATAAAAATTAATCCGACAAAGCAAACGAGCGTACTTTTCAAGAAAATGACTTCACCCATCTTCAAATGTTAAATGACTACCGTTCTCACTCAAGGTATTTCCGATAACGATTATAATTTAAACATATTTCATAGCATTATCATTTGTCATAAAGTTACAAGCCCTATCCCATATTTTTATTATTTGTTTTAACTGTAACTATTTTTAAATTCGAAAAGTTGTAGATTTTTGGAAACAGAAGGAAGTTAAAGATTAAAGGTTAAATTGTCCGTCTTTTCAGCAATGATTTTGTAATAACTTTCACGATGATTTGCCCATTTAGTTGAAGATTCAATCACTTTTCAAATATTTCATCGCAATCACCATGTTCTTTCATACCACTTTTTAGCAAACCCTATAATCAATGTCGAAGACAAAACAACAGTAAAGATAAAAATATGTAATACGAAAGCTGGTGACAAGGACATGATACGATTTGTCTAGTTTGTTGTTGTAGAGGTATAAGCTATTAATTTGCTAACAATGGAAGTTGGAAAAATTCTTTGTGCATCATAAATTTTCAAAAGTCATGCCTTCGTGACCACATTAAGAGGTTATTTTCTTTTAATTCAAGTTCTTATCTCTGACATGAATTTTGACTGATTTTACCCTTTGTGTCAGCATTCACACAGATCCCTTTTCTTGTACGTTGCATTCAGTGCGTTTAGCACTTTGATCCATAAAAAGAAGCAGGTGAGGCAAATTTATTGAAGTAGTTTATTTTGGAGAATATCGGCGGTTTTTCCTTAACATGTAGGATTTACTACGGATTTAAGGTAGTTCTAGTATATGCCCTTTAATAGCAAATAAATTGCGTCTCTGTTTAGTTAACTGTTATATTGGGAGAAATAGTGCTCTGCATCCTCTACCTCACTACCACAATTAGATGATGGATTTTGTTGGAAGCAATTTCTAAACAAATCTGTATTAAAGAGATACTACATGATTCTTGCATGATTGACCAGACCTACCCTCACTGCTTAAACTTCAGGAACAACGGAGGCTTTAAAATGAATTTAAGCAAGACTTTTTTCAAATTTTAAAACGTTGGGTCATCACGAATGGTTATGGAAAGTTCATTTTATACTTTAACTGATGATGGAATTACAGATTAAGACTATAATTTTGTACGGCTTTTCATTGTTAAAAAGTTAGAGCTGTTATCAACTGTTAAAATAATTCTGATATAGACGGTAAAAATCCATGTTTTTCTTTATGGACTTATATCAGTTTGTGAATTTAGTGCCTGTCCGACAGAGACACCCACCCAATTTTTATCTAATAATATTTCAATGGAAACAGAGCGTGTAAGGCCAGTTACAATTCATATTGCTTTTTTTCTAGGGTTTCTTTTTCTACATTAGCGCAGCTATCCAATAAAACAGATGCATATTTAGAATTTGTCTGAGATAGGATAATATAATGTTAATATGAGTGTTGCGCGTTCACATTTTCATATATCCTGGGATATTTGAAGCTGAAGAAGTTATATTACATATTTGCTCATGCCAGGAACTATCATTACTTAAGGTAACACCAAGATGTTTGTGATGTTGAACAGGAGTTAAATCACATTGTTATCAAAGATCGATTTTGGATAGCCCCGGCCTATTTGAATTGTATTTATATCAGATGATGTAACTGCTAAAGAACTATTATCAAATAACCTTGTTGTACTTTCTTATGATTCTGCTTTGTCATTGACATATATTAAAGTAATAAGGGTACTAGAACAAGGCCTTGAGGAACGTCAGTATATGTATCTAGTCTATCCAACAAAAATTCTTCGTTCCATGACCATACCAAGACAACTGATTAAGGGTAAAGTGGCATAATATAGCTTATTTAAGACAACTTCTTATAAAAACTTATCAAAATGATAGTAAGGGGATGCCATATTGTTTTGCAAGTTTCTTTCAACATGCGATAACTGATTTCTCCTGGACAACTTTTCTATCACTAATTATGAGAGAACACTAAAATTTCTTGTCCGGTGTTTTGAATATTGTCAAGAAAAGAATCTTTTTTTTCACAAAAAATTGATAATTACAATTTAGTGTCATCAATTATAGAGATTTCAATGTATTGGTTATGTCTTTGCCGGACACTGAGTATTTATTGTCACTTTTTAAGAGGTTAAGAGGTGGAATTTTATAATATGTGTTTGAATTTTCTTTCTGTTTGAATTTTCTTTAATAAGCGTTTTAAAATAAATGAAGTGACCACTTACTCGATCTCTAACACATTTATTTCCTCACGTTAACTGCATTGTTGTTTTGGCTGCTGCGATAGAGATTGGTAGATTGACTTTGTATAAGCAGTGTGTTTGCGATGTTGTCTGTTGTATATAGCCTTGATCAGGCCAACAACAGGGATTATAAAATCAAACACACTCATGAATAAATCAGGAACTTTTTTAAATATAACTGAAATATAGCAGTCTTTATTTTATATTTTAAATAAGACATTTAAGATAACACAAAAATTTTTCTCTGAATAATAGGATGCGTTGACAAACTGTCTTACCAGGTACACGAGTACGACGCCGTGGATATCTATAAAAAACACATCAGCTATCCCAAGGACTTTGCTGTCTTAGCCTTCTTTGGTGGTGTGCTTCCGCGATTTATCCATAACATGAACATTCTTTGTCTTTCAGTTCATAGAACTGAATCAGTGTTTGTCATTTTTGATGATTTTATAGAGGAACGACGAGTTCCTTTCTCACACTTTCATGTTTCATTTGCATGTCCGTCCTTAGAATTCGATAAACTTAGGTTTTATTTATTTCTGATTTTTTCTGCGAATTTTCTCACATTATGTCAAATAAAATTTAATATAATGTTATTTGTATTATGTTGTACACACCCTATTTATAAGAATATGTATTAAAATAGACTATTTAAATGTGGTTGGAGGAGGTGTTTGACACAAAATTCCTTATTCTTTGCACGGCGGGCTGAACAAACGTGGTTACACCGCCCTGGCCTAAAACATGTTACACCTAGACCCAGTGTCTTTGTTTCTTTCTCCATAACATAATCTCTAATATTACTTAACGGGTGCTTCTTTAATCTGGGCCATGTTTGATCGAAAACCAACAGGTAGTCATTGAAAATATTGCTCTCTTTCTGTTCGTCTCATTTGACACAAAACGGACGTACAAATAGATCATCTCACAGGTAAACAATGATTCAAGTGTTCTAGGTGTGGAATTCTAAACAAGTTAAGACATAAATCATTTATGGAATGTTTTGTGATTGTTTGGTCATGGAATTCAAATGTAGTTTATTCGTGAACATTGTAAGTTACAATAGGCCATCCCACATATAAAAACAATAATGCTTGTATCCAATCCTAAACATATTACTTCCTATAATTAGACAACGGGAGGTTTAGTGTTATTTACAAGCCTGATATATACATATTTATTAAAATAAATTTGACATACTAAAGTGTCTTTTTGTAAACTTTATAATGTGGTGCAAGTTCTTTTTTTACATGTTAACCTAACCGAACGGATATAATACTAAAGAGTCAATGTGACAATATGCAAATGCACGAACTCTAAGATATGTTTTATTTATTGTCAAAACACATGGGCGATATCTTTTTATAACTTGAATTGGATATATGGTGATTTATTAGTTTTACAATTAATGACATACTCCTTGTGATAAATAAAAGAAAATAAAAAAAGTTGCTTACGTCTTCTTTGTCACAGAATATCTACATAAATGAATTACTTTAGTGCGTTGCCGTTTACCTTTTTAAACTTATGGTTATTCCACCAATTGTTTTCTCGTTTTGGGCACACGCTTTCTTTTTCGTGAGGACCATACGCCGCCTTTCATGGAATGGCGCGAAAGTGCCACATTGAAGATTCCATGATAACCACCGTAAAATACATCTGGAGATATTTTGTACTTTCAATGTTCACCCTATTATGTTTTATTTTTAAATTTTACCTGAGCTGGGGGTGTGGACAAAGTTTGCACTTACCACTACCGTCCATGAACAAGCCCAATCAAACCGAGCTTGCAACATTGGCAATTATACCGTGTTTGACGTTCTTTAGAGATTCCGTTTTCTCTACTTAACAACGTATCATAGTATCCGTTGGTATAATTTGTTGTATTTCTGTCATATTTGCGGATTCAGATGAAGCAAAGTTTCTCCAAATAAATTATCTCCTGAACGCTTCATCCTATCGATCATTCATTCGACATTTTTTCAAAAGTTTTAAAGCTTTGAAGAAATAAGAATATATCAACAAGGGAAATCCTTTGGCAATCTGTCTGTTATAATTTGGCACAAATATTTTGCACATTTCTGTTTTTGAAATTATGAATGAAATATATTGCAGGTAGTGAGGCTTATATCAAATGGCTTACTTTTAAGTTTTATACAAATTTGCCACAGAAGAAGATTTGGATGAATTTTCTGAAAAATATAATTTCAGAATATTTATCTAATAACTAATTTCAACTGATTTTATTTTATATGATACATTAATATCTACCAGTTTTTTCAAAAGGGTATTTTTTTAAATAGTAATGATCGCTATGTTCCAGTGCTAGTTTGTATCATATCCTGTGAGATATGATTTGTTTTGAAAGCATAACTTATTCCATTTTTTCAATACAAGTTAGTGTACATTAAAAATCTTAAACGTTACTTGATTACGCTGCTTTAGTCTGTTGTCCAGCGTTTGATGCTTATTAAAAAGTTCTTTGAAAATAATCTAGAGGATATATATCACTTAACATTGCAGTTCAACTCAACACTCATTATAATTTCAAAAAAACTTAATTTGCGTTATTTTGGTCAAAATGTTTCAAAAAAAGATGTTGCTTGCCAACTTATCTGATAAAAACACACAAAAAAACATCGACTTGTTTGAAATGAATTCAAGTGAATTCATAAACAAGATATTTGGCTAGACAATGTGTTGTTATAACTTGGCAAAAGTATCTGTACACATTTCTGTGTTTTAGGATCATGCATGTACTCGTAGAATGATAAAATAATAATCCTGTAGAATTTGCCCAGGCAATTTTATTACAGAATAAAAAAAATATGTTTATTAAAATGAGATTCTAAAAATGAGTACAAAGAATAAGCTCTGTATTTACATATGAGTGAAAATGTTTGAATTAATTCAATTTAGACACAGTGTATGACCAATATTTTATAGAAATCTGAAAAAGGGGTTATCTCTCGGAAGCAAGGACAACAAAAGTATCAAATTTGCAGACTCGGTTTAAATAATTCGGTTTAAATGAGTCTGTCCATGAGAGATATTGTTCAAGCGCATCACATGTCGCCCCCTAGCACCGGTTTCAGTGGTATCCCATCTTTAACACTAATGTGCTGGAAGAACAAGAAAAATATAACAGCACTGAAGTGAGATACGTAAAAAGAAAATCTAAATAACGGTTTATCCCCTCCAAATCAATGGTAATAACAGTATTATATGAAAATTGCAGGTCCAGTTCGATTTTCCATGAGAGATCATGTTTAAGTGCGACATCGAGATCATCTCTCAAACCTCCCCCCACCCCGGAACCGGAATAATCTTCAATATTATTGTGTTGACGGCTTTTCAATTTTGTCGTGTTGGGCTTTCTTTAGGGATTCTGTTTTTCACTATTTTACAGAAATGCCTCTTACAGATGCTACCTCCTCCGTTTAAATCAAATCAACTAAATGTACTATACTTCTCATTACACAATATTTAGTTCGGTTTTATTAAAATGGAAGGAAATAAGAACTTATACAAGTATACATACACCGACTTTTGGTGATTCATAGAAATTTTCTGATGGTTTACTAGATAAATCTTGTTCTGCTAGTTTGCTTGAAAGCTTAAAATTTTTCAAGAATATTTCAATCTTGATTCTTATATCGCAGCTGTTTTCCCTCAGGTCACTTTTGTGCAAAATAAATGGTTAGTGGTATTTTGTAAAAACCTTGTATAATTCTAACAGGGATATGAACTTAGTAAAAGGAATAGAAATGCAGCATAAACACTTATATGATTTAAGCCGCTCACAAAGCTAGAAAAAGAATAATTATAGCTCCAATGTTAAGTTCACATATTAAAAGAAAATGCTTATTGATATAGTCAAATATCAAAATTTAAATAAGTATACCAATGTTATCAATTGTTAAGTTGAAATATCTCCAAAATACTTGCATCCTTGAGCAATAACATTCAAACTAGTGAAAAATATTCCGATATTTGTAGATCATAGCTTTTAATATTCTGAAAACTAAACATAAGCCTAACATATCAATCAAGTCAGATTTCTTTATTTGTAATATGAAAAGTGAAACTAAGTTGCATCATATTTTTTCTCCATCATTAAGCGTTGTGATAAATTGAATGTTTTCAATAGAATGCAACATAATACGATAAGAAATATTAAACTTATAGCACCATAACATCGTGGACATTTCCCAAGAACGTATTAGTTATCATAAGAAAATATAACAATTTTATCAGAAATATTTCATTATCGTGCAACAGTTCTACCATGTGATAATATAAGTATGAAATTAACAACATTCGTTGTTGTTACCATAAATCATCGTGTCATATTAGAATTGTGTTGTTTGGGCACACAGTTAAAGAAGGCACTTATCAATTATACAAAATGAAAATACTTTCACACTAGTTTTGGCGTATCTTTTAACCTTAGTGCGTTGCATACAATTTAATGCTAGGTATACCGATATCGCATTTATTTCATTTTCCTAAACGCTCTCTAAAAAGATCATAAGATTACAGACACATGCTGAAATATAATCAAATGTTTCTTTAAAAAAAAGCATTTCGGAATTGTTGTGTATAATATCGGTTATCTGACATGATTTTCCCTAGTCAGGTCTTATTCAATCAATCTAGAATAAAATCTGATGTTTTACCTGGTCCTTGGCCTGATTTAACTACAGGAAATACCACTTTACGCTTCATTTACAAACTTGATCTGATAAGTACAATATATATACAATTATGAATGAATGAATTATTTTATCTTTCATCGATCAAGGATTGAGAAAGCATTAAATGTACCAATAAATATTTTGTTTCAACCATATTTTTGATTTCATATATTTTTTTCTGGTGCTCGGTACATTCTGTGCAATGTAAAAGTTGTATTTAGTGCAGTATATTCCAAGTTTAATCTAGTGTTTCGTATTTTTGAAAGAAGAGAATCCTTAACAACAATAATAACAAAAATGTTTTTCATAAGAGTTGAACGAAAAGTGTAACATTTCCCATGCCCCCCCCCCCCCCGTAGCACCGGTTCTAGCTAGCGGTATTTTATCCTTTACACTAAACATATCCAAAGTGTATTTATAAAAAAGCATGTATATATTTCATTTATCGCGTTGTAAGCCACGGTTATAAAATAGTGACTTTGTTTAGATTGTGTACATTTCGTAATTGATCTTGGATTCTTGTGGGTATTTTTACTCATATTTTTTTGCACACAAAAGGTCTCCAGGGACTGTACTATTATTGATTCGAGAGACAAGCATTGCGTTTTTAAACACCATTATATACATGAGAAATAAAGATTTGACTACTGTTTAATCGGCATTGGTTTGGAAAATGTTGAAATGAACAATTAATTCACATTGTCTTTTATTTTACAATATTTATTTAAAGAACATGGAGTACAGACATACGTATGAAATATATTATCTACTTACAAAGTGTCCTAAAGTGTTCTATTCTATATGTAAACATAATATTCACTTGCATAAAATACACATATCAATTATATAGAATATACATAATTATATGATTACATCAACTCTCATTTTCTCATTTATGAATCCAAACTACAAAATCACAATAAATAAATTACGAATATTAAGTTTCACTATACACATTCTTTCAAATGTTCATACATAGTTCCAACTGGCATAATGTATGTAAAATTCTTATAGCATTAATCAATGTAGGCTTGAAAATATATCCAAATACATGTAACATGTATATCCGTATTGCAGACGACATTTCAGTGCCTTTTTGAAATATTCATTAAGAAAAAAGCTATTCTTTCATACAGATGCATGTTAAACTAAGCTGAAGAGTAGGTACACGGCAGTTTTCGAAATAACAATGTTTTATGATGTTTATGTAGCACGATGGTCTCTTTGACACAACTGGACGGATAATTCGAATTGTACCTGAGATTATGGGTAAATATTAAGATTTTTCGGTAAGTAAATTACATTCATACATGCTGCCTTAATTACAGTTCAACTCTTTTGTTCCACACTTTGTTTACAAAAATAAATTGAGATACAATACAGACTGCATTCAGGTTTGTTTTTCTTTCTGATAAGCGTTGTACCAGATCTTTGAGAGGCAGATGGCAGAGTGAAAACGGAAAAATATCAAGAGCGGTACACACAGATGCGTGATGATGTTCCACGCCAATATTCCGTAGAAAGTTTCATGCATTGGTAGAACTTGTGTTTTCTTAATTTCAAACATGCTCACCACCCACATAGCTAGATTACAGACCAACAAGAATGTGACCACAGAGCGACCGGGCTTATCACTCATTTGAACATCATTCTCCGCGCAACGACAAAGTCCATCTAAGATGAATACGATCTGCAACGTGATTTGAATGAGCGCCAAAACGATTGTGACCACGGATAAAACACCTACAACTTCCATGAGCTCTTCACTTGAAAGTACAGAAATGAGTATGAAGAACAAATAAATGTATGACCCTGCAAGCGCCACGATGAGTAAGACCGAATCAACTGACAGGAAGTACGTAGGCAAGAACTTCAGTGTAGCCAAACGCTTGTATCCCAAGACTATCCCAACGCCCGTGACGACCATAAGAGCAAGTTCTGTGACGTAGAAAACCTTGATAGCGGTGGATGAATCAGAAATTCGATTCTCAAACACGAAGAATGTTGCAATGGCAATAAGGGTCAGCACAGCAACTAGAAGTCCCATGAACAAACCCTTGTTTGCCTTGTCGCAATCGATCCCTGTAGCACCTACAACGTAAATAAAGACAAATCGTTAAGGCATTACTCAAAGAAGCAAACGCATCCTCCCATTGATAAAAACGTTATATTTTCAAGATGAGTATCTTTTTGTTTACATTTCTAACCACCTTGCTTTTGAAAAGCTCATAAATTGGACAGCCGAGACTTAATATTTATAAACTCAATTACATGGGTCTACGAACTAGAGCAAAAAACTATCTCCATGTCTGCTGGGCGTCCTGATATTTTATATAATTGACGCTGGCAAGATAAACCTCAAGATAACACTCTCACCGACAATACAAAAATAGAAGAAAGTTTTACTTTTTGTCTTTTATTATCTTTTATATTTACTAGATTTATATACACTAAAAGATAGTATTCAAATGTTTGTGAATTGAAATATTGGCGAATAAAATATGTAGCAGTAAGTATTGCATTTCTTACCCTGTGGAACTGAACTTGTCAATGAGGTATGACTAGGCCATCTCTGTTTGACCTTGACCCCAACATACTGATATAACCTATAGATGATACCAGCCGCAATGATACTGTATATAATCGTGCACGGAAATAGGTAGGGCGATGCCGATCGTGCAAGTGTGATATCCTCGTAACAGCTCTTCAACTTCATTCCCACAGAAGCTGAAAAAACATGTACTGGTATCATAAATAGTGTTTGGAATATTCATGATCATAACTCTTAAGCAATGTACTCAAGTAAGTGACAATGTTTTATATGAACGGCTGCAGGTTTTTTCTGTGTTAATCTAAATTTAAATATGTTTGATATTTTGTCACATTACTTAGGATTCTACATTTTAGAAGTCTAGTAATACTACTAAACAATTTTCTTATAAATGTATCGTTTGACTACATACATTTATGAAGTTGAAGTATGACATCGTGGAACTTTATAAAACTAATTCGAACAACACTATAAAGATACATAGAGAAAAAATATGAATCCCTAAATAAAGCCCAAAACGGCAAAATTGTAAATGTTACAAGCTCGGTTGGATTGAGCCCCTTCATGGACGATACTGTCAAGTGCAAACTACCGTCCACGCCCCTAGCACCGGCTTAAGCAAAATTCATTATTTAAACATGAAATGGTAAAATTTTTAATTTAGAAACACCCGCAGATGCATTCAGATACAAGTTCAAGGCCATCGTTCATACTTCTCGTAGGTTTTAACATACTTAAATTTTTCTGAATATAATCCTGTTGTCGGTAATCTTCGGCAGTTTCCGTGATGGCGGTAACCAGTAGGACACACAAGTTTGTCGCCATGAGATGCATCATTCCAAATCTAACCATTGCCTTCCATTTGTCAATGACCAACTTAAATAAAAACAAATAAATCATTACGTAGGGCACAATATTTGATAAGAACATAAAAGTTAAATTTCTGCTCGGCTATTATAAAGCTAGACTTTGCTTCCCAGTAAAAGCTTTAAAATGTGAAATGATTATTTATTAAAGGCATAATATGCCCCAGAAACAAAATAATATTTTCTTCTTTAAAGAAGGTCAAAGTTTCATGACTCTAGGTCAAACATCTTTTGGGCTACGTGTGACACAAGTTGAAAATTGCAAAGTTTTACTAAGTCAAGGGCATTAATTCTAACAAAACTGAATGAGTCCACATGCAAAACCAAAGGTGCACAACTTCGAATGCTGATCAACTCTTCTGTTAAATTCATGACTAAAGATCAAATATCAAATACGTTTTGATTTATGCTCGACAAAAGTTGAACATTGGAAATTTATTAAAGGTCATATAATGGTCCCATGGCATGTTAAATGCTTGTTACCTGAAGAAAGTAGCGCTTAATGTGAATAATTTGTCATTAAAGTAGCAAAATCTACAGAAAGTAGTATTTTGATTTTCACACAAACCAATTCACTATGTATTAATTATGTACTTATTGCAAAAAAAGCAACAGAAGAAAAGGACAGTTCAGGTATTTTATAGGCCAATGAGCAACGTTTTGGAAACTACAGTTGTATGAAAGAATACCACAAACAATATTTTTGAGAAATAAAAATAGAAGCATTACGGGGCATAATTGGCCTTTTAGAAGTGTTTCCTCTTGTACAATAATTTGTTTCTACCCAAATCAAATATTTTTCTTCCAACCTACGATATCTTAAGACAGGCATTCAATTCATATCACCAAGCGAATGTTTCCACTGATACGTAAAAGCAGGCGTACAAACAAATATTCCGTAAAGTAAATAAATATTCAAGATTTCGTGTGGAAATCTAAACAGAAGCACTAAAAATTAAAGTAAACAGTTTACTTTTGTTACACGGACAATTACTTTAAATAGTGATACAATGTATAAAGTATATAGGTTTAATTGTTCTATTGTATACTACATTCCTTATTCTGAACCTCAAGACTATTTCGTCAGACAAACAAACATTTACAAATCTAGAACAGACTTCGAGTGTTTCGTTTACTTCATTATTTCTGATAGTTTCTTCATATATCGACATGAAAATTCAAACATAACTGCAAAAGTACATCAATAAAAGTGTACTATGAATGTCGAATACCTGAGGCCGGAGACATGAAATCGCTTGCCTATAGTATCGAATTAAAAAAATCACTCTCTAAATTAGAGACTGTCATACATTTTATTTAATTACGATATGCAGCTAGTTCATGGAAAGTTTTTGTGCTCCTGTCTATGTGTAACCTTGTGTTTCCTAAACTGAGTTAACATAATTTAGAAAATCATAATAATACCATTCCAGTGCAAGTATAACTTCAAAACCAACTTAAATGCATCATCAAGTCAAACTTTTTTATGGTCTTTGCTAACGCCTTTGCAGAAGAAAAGAATAATAATGTTATTTTTTAACGGAAATGTTGAATTACCTTATGATTTTTGAAGAGGAAATACGTCTGCACGAAAGTGAAAAGCAAGTGCATGACATAGACCAAAATGAAGATGTTACTGTCACATGACTTTTGATCAGGTGTCTCAAAATATGACGCAATATGCAGACCATCCAACGTCACACTTCCAAACGCAAACGCTGAAACACAACAAATTGGGAAAAAACTAAAAAGATGCATTGGTACCGCTACATGAAACACAAAAAACGGTATATTGTATATATTTTGTAGATCGTTATATAATTAGAATATGAGTAAATGTTTAATATTTCATATATTATTTGCATGTAATTCCAATTTTCATTCATGCTTATTTCCAACAACAATACCTAAAGCTCCAAGTCTTAAGTAAAAGTTGATTCCCTCTCCAACGTGAGCCACTCCACCATCGATCGGAAGGACCAGCTGACTGTGGCGACTAGCCAATGATATCTCTTCAGCACCACGCCCATTTTCCAGTAAAGCATCATCAGCAATGATCTCGTGTGCCCTGGAAAACGCAATACTATTTGCAATGAAATCTCTCTCAAACGAGGTGTAAGTATTTAACAAAGAGTTTCAAGAGCGTCCGTGCCCGAGTGGTTAAGGTCGTTGACGTCAAACTAATTGCCCCTAACCCCTCCCGACTGGGACTTTGGATTCCTTCATGAAAGGAAGCTATACAGCTTGAACGTCGGTGGGTCTACTTAAGTGCCCGTTATTGTCTGAAATATTGCACGGAGGTAGCCGAAGATCTTCCTCCAACAGTAAACCTAGAAAGTCGCCATATGACCTATTCTATCTTGGGGCGACGTAAAACCCAATTAAAACATGATAAGTTTTTATAAACCTAAACAGTTTTCCTGTATTAAATCAGATAAAATAGATATCTTCACAAATACTTATTACTTACACAAATATTCTATAAGAAACTCTTGGAGATCATTTAAAGTTTGACGGCTTGAACTTGTCCTATGTAAAACGGGCAATCTCTAATCGTATAAATATATCTAGCGTTCTGTAAGACTGTTACCTGTGTGGGGTAGGTGTAGCTGTTGGAGATTTCTGTATGCTTCCATCTGGCCGTATCGACACTTTAATTACATTGGTTTCAAAGTAGCTGTTTTTGACCTTGACCCCGCGTAGGAGAACCACTTGGAAGTACAGCAGTACAAGAAGTGAGCCAGTATACAGGTATACAAGGAACACCTGTAATATAATAAGTATAACATCGACATGAGCTGCCTGCTTGCCATAATTCATGAGACATATGAAATGAATAACTCTATCTGGAATATATATTTCCAGGTAAAAGTACGATAATTAGTAGCGAGTCACTTTTGCAAACACATAATCAAGGTCGTGAACGAATTACTCAAGGTTAGAACGATGATTTCTATATATAAATTGCTGCAGTGCTGTGCGATATAGAAATTTTAAATGTTAAAAAGTGCATCAATATCATAAGTGTTAAAAAGTGTATTTATAGCATAAATAAAAAAAGAAAACAACAACATAAAAACAATAATGATAACATTACTGTAATAACTATTAATCAATTTAAAAGAATCATATGATTACTCATGTTATTTCATATCATACACCCACAATAGTATTTTATGTAATTTCGGTTACGAAGTTTTTTTTTGTATTTACATCTCGGTTGAACATCCTTACAAAGTTCGTTCAGAAGATATTTTGCTCAAACTTTAATTTAAAACAAATACTACGATTTGAGTTTTTTTTTTGTTTTTTTTTTAAAGTGAAGGTTTTCAATTTCCCAATCAAATATAGCTAATTAAATTGTATACGGCAAAATGACTACACTGTGTAAAATTCAAAACGACAATAATACTTTTATTCTGTAATAATTATACGGTAAACATGAGATAACGATATTTATCCTGGAATGATAATACAGCATACATTCCGGATTGTCTAAACAAATAATCATTTAAGTATATACAAAAAACAGTATCTACTGTAATAAAACAGTCAATATGTTTTGCCCACACACATGTTGCTACAACCATTTATTGCTTAATTGGCATGATGCAGATGTTTTAACATGGTGCCATACTCAGATCAACATTCTTTATGACGGAATGGTGATTTTTGCAGATTTTTTCTACGAAATACTATCGTAAAATGTATAATATTTATAATCTACTCGTATTTATATTGTCTGAAAGAAAAGTAAATGAAATACATGTATATATCTGGAAAAAAAATAAGAGTTGTTGGTAGAAGGTCAGTCCACTGCAGAAATTTTTTAATTTGTATGAAAACATGCGCTTCGAGGTCTTAATAATTTGAAATATGTAATTATGTTTATCAATTTAGGAGCAACAGACACTGCTGGACGTTATTCACGTATCACTTTGGACTAGTTGACTCACAATTTGTGTATTTGAGGCTTGCATGACATGACCCTCAAGAATTATTATATATTCTAATGATAATGCCTCGAACGCTTGAATGTGCAATTAACCATGGGTGTAGATGTAATAAGTGTCCTAGTGCTTGTAAAGGTCTAATAGTATCTATGTAATTAAAAGGAAAGTGGGTCACGTAACATACATGTAGCATGTCATAGAAATCTTGTAAATAACACAGCATACTCACCTCGAGGTAATATCTGTGTACCCTTTCCTGTGACGTCAGTGAATTTGCCGTAGCAAATACAATCCCAAGCACCACAATTATCAGAGCATAAAGCCCACAAAGAAGCTTTACAAGAGACGACCTGGAACGAAAATAATAATATTGTAAGTTTATCTTACGCCAATAAAAAAGGGACGCTAATCTTTAAAGAAGATCGGGGTGGTATTTAAAAAGGAACGCTCGTTAACCTTGACATGTCTATTGCAGAGTTTTCACGGAAAATGATTTCTGAACGAAGGTGAACTGACATTAAAATGTCTGTTTCACCAGGATGCATCCTTCAAGAGTTGTTTTACATTGATGACAGACAAAGAATGATGCTACTCGTTTGAAGAACCAGGTATCATTATCTCTGCATCCACTCGACACTACAAACTGACAATTGAGATAAGGAAACTTTTTTTGTAAATCACCAACATATGTTAAAAGTCAAACGCTCTCATTTAAAACAGAATAAAATTTGAGTCTGATTTTAAACAACAGATCAAGGTCGGCTAAAGACTATACCTTATACATTCATCCTTCAAAATCAAACTCTTTTCTTCAAGTTATTTTTTTTTAATTTTACACAAATTTCACTTTCATAAAACAAAACAAAAACATACATTTCGGAATATGTAATTTTATTCATAACAGCGGAATGACGTCATCTTAAAGATTCATCTTATTTGATGTCTTCTAAATAAAGCATCTGAGCCAACTTTCAAGGGGATGCTTTATGCAATTCAGTTTTCCAAAACCGATGCAAACAATAAAAATCCACTCTGACAAACGAGAATGAACCGGCTGGACTTTCTTGGTGTAATTACCTTGACCTTTCTGCAATTGTTTCAACCTTATGTGGTTATTTTGACATTTGAATGGTCTTAAATGAGTTTTTACCCGCACAGTTAGACGGAAAAAGGTCAATAGAGCAGTCATATTTATGGTACTGTTTATAAACAGTCATATATCTGTATATAAATGCATTGATGTAAATAGTACACCTGTGATTTCCTATGAAACATCATATAAAATTGTTTATAAACACGTTCAAATATCAAATAAAAGCTTATTGTATATATCAAACGGACGTGTGTCACTTTGAATTAGGAACTATCTGATGTGAACACAAAAGGACTTATAGATCTACACCAAAAGATTAAATTTTAGTGTATAAGAGCTATATAGAAATGCCAGTTTTTACGGATGTTTTACACTGGCCAAGTTCTATAAACAAACCATAAAAAGGTGTGTTTTTACTCTGTTTTAAGCTAAATTACCTCCAACATCAATGTGCAACTATTGTACGCACTGGTTAAAATGGCATGGTTTTGTTGGGTTTTTTTAAAAGAAAGACACAGGTGTTGCAAACGATGATTTTACACCTGCTTCTGTAGAATACAAACGTTCTTACAGCATCAAAGTCAACTCCAACTGTGTTCCCATGCACTCAGAAATAAGCCTAAATTGAAAATGTGATCTTTTAGAGAATCTTCAGTACCTTTTAATGAGGAAGGATGTGCACTTTCTTCTAGCAAACATACAAACAAACATTTCAGAGCTTACAAAACAATAACAAAATATTTTTTTTAATTTATAAATAAACCGCCGAGACAAATTATTAGAAATCCAGATGATACAATGATTATGCTACATTTGTAACATAGGCAAGCACAACTTAATTATGTTTGAAATGCACAGAACTTCAAGTACGTGAATAAAAACAATCCAGGTCGAATGCCTTACAAAATGTAATTACCTTTCTTATTTTCGTTCGATGATTTTTTGCTGTTATATTAACACTTCTTTGTGTTACAGTTCTTGATTTAATGTGTTTTCCAGAAAGCTATCTCCTGATGATAACATCTATAAGATTATTATTCAAACCTGGTGTTTTTTATGTTTATGTTCGAAGTAGTTCACAAAAATTATTCTTATACTCATGATCCAAGATAATATAAAAAGAACGTAACATTTTGGTGAGGAATTATTGTTATTTATTCCCGAAAAGAATATTTATAATGAATTAAAATGTGTTATTATCAATGCCGTTAACTTAAATATTCAATCGGATACATTAAATAAAGATTCAGTATTGTAATTACATTACTTTTCATCAGGTATAATATAATATCATATTATTAAATGGTTTGGCATTTGTTTTTCATTCAGAATTATTTATAGCAGATCATAAACACAAATACTTTACTTTATTACTGTTGGTAGAAACCATGGAACGTATGATGTTACTTCATAAATTAAATTAAACTTAACAATCTTTCCGGTTAATAAAACTTGTTTATTGAATTTCAAGCTATAAGTTATCTAATATAAAACCAGGCAAGAGGCAGAACTTTATCCAGAATAACGCAGTTATATAGACATTCCTTTTATACATACTTTTAATCTTTATGACTTAAATTTTATCATTTTAATGTAAGAAATGTAGATATAATAATGAAACAGGCTTCAGTATTTTCATCAAATATGACCTGCTCGTTCATTATTATCAACTAGGAAGTTTCAAATTCAATCTTTTAACTGAACCACAACTTAACTGCATGCAAAGGTTATAACACATTGTATAAGTTAGGGTGATCATCATTTAAATGTTTTTATCCGTAGAGACAAAGCGGAATACAATACAATTAAAGGTCCATTACTTAGACCCAGGTGAATGTAATTAAATTGAAATTACCAACATCTAAATGCTGATATCACTTTAAACGTTAGTAGAAACCGTAATGTGAAAACAATAGTAGTTTTTTACCACAGAAACACATTATTATTTTGCCCTTATCAATGTTTATTTGCTTCTCAATAATGAAATGGAACAAACTATTAAATGGACCCGACATTTTTTTAATCAAACCATATCAAACATTATTGCAGTTTTTTTATTAAAAATGTGGTCTCGTAAAATCTTCATTTTAAAAAAATTGCGATTTCTGTTGAAGGTAGAATTATGAAATATATATGTGACTGTACCATTCAATAGTTTTGCATTAAGTTACTGTAAAATATAGACATGTTGTCAACAAAGACTTATTTTACACCTAATCATGTAATGTTATTATTAAATAGAAAAAGTAATATGTGTGAGAATGTATTGTAAACCATAACAATGGTCCTTGTATCTCTATAAGATTATTTTTCGTATATTTTAATCAATTGTAATATGTGTTTATATACAAGTAAATGTATAGTCATAACCCTACATAAAGTTCAGTTGAATTATTTGATATATCATTTGATATATTTTTGGTACATTTGTTATTTGTTTAGCATTTTGTAGTAAACTTGAACAGTTCATTTTCAAAAAAAATATCAATACAGAAATGTATTGGACTTACATGCTTTTGTCTTTCATTTAGTATCCAATAAGTTCCAAAACCAAGCGGTCACGTGATAATTTAACAAGACACGTGCGTTGATAACATAGAAACTTGCTTCAGTGGAATTTCGAGGTAAAGTAAACAGTGTTTATTAAATGCAATTAACTTCTGATTATACACTTGATGATATTCCTATATAAAACTTTAAACACAAAATAGTTCCTTAATTACTTGTTTCTAACTGGTTACACATGTGATATAATTCGGCAAGATAAGAAAGGAATTTACTACAGATCCATTTCTGAAGCTTATTAACTATTACCTAGGTACACGAGAAATAAGCTACTACATTCAGAAATAATCATGTTGTTGAACATAATAATGTCAGGTTCATAGCCACAAAAACAAACGAAAATTATGAGTTGTAAGCGTAAAAGATGATTGCTTTGGAGCTATGTTTATTGCTTAGATATCAAAAGAATGTTCAAAAAGGTTCATAAATTATATAAGATCCGCAGTTTTTATGGGTAATAAAATCCTGTAATGAAATGGCCTTTCGTCGGAAACTTATATCTTATTATTGTTGATTTGTGAGCCGTATACTGTTTTTCGAAGGACGATTCTTAAAAATTTAGCCCAGCCCCATAAAACGATAAAATGGTCGAAAACACTTAGTTTATGCAGAATTTATTCTAGTTCGGTTGTGCTGGGAGCTTTAAGCTTATAGACACACTTTCAAATCCCCTCCTGTCACTAACCAGTACTGAGTAATGAGTGTAAAGTTTCTTGCACTATGAAACACCAGTCTGCCCCTGACCTGACGGAATTGAGCCTAGGCGGCTAAAATTCCTTAGATTACTAGTCAGATGCATAAATCCTTTGGCCATGCCACCTCATATGGATTGTTGAAAAGCCGTAGTTGTATACATGTAGATACAATAATCTGTTACCAATGATCAACTTGTATCAAAATATTCGGCTATCCGTTCTTCAAGAGGAGCGATTTTTTTATCCAACATTTAAGCCCAAATGATGTCATGTGTACAATTGTAGAAATTGTAACTTCCGCTGTATTAGATAATGTAATTGATGGCGGTATAGTAATCTAAATTTCAATTACACGAACTCAAAACCACTATATTATTTATGATTATGATATCGTACTATAAGTTAAAATTATAGAAATTCAGCATTTTACTTTTAATATAATATGTGTATACGTAGTTCGGCGCTTTCTTGGTCTTACTGTGTCGAATTGTTAAACTCATTTTAAATGGATCTTTCATTTTCATTTACATATAAAGTAACTACAATAAGGAATTGCCTGAAAGACAAGAATAATATTACTGACGCTTCAATTTCTTACACTGAATATGAAACCTGGATCATTCGGAAATAAAGACTGCGTTCCTCTTTGATAACTGATCATGAATGATTGGTTAATTGATTGATAATTGAAAGGTGATAATAGGATGTTATATGTGTGTAATAGATGTGTCAGATTATTCCTAGTGTCCTTAGAATAATCTTTGACATTTACATAAAATTATCAATATCGTATGCACTGGAAACGATAAATCTCTACATAAAAATTTGAAATTGATAATCGAAATGTCTTCAAGTTATACATTTCTAAACTTATACGTATAAATAGAAATGCATTGCTGTGATTTTGGAACAGGTAAAATTTAAAAAGATGAAATAAGTGTGCGGCAAAATTTGAATGAAAATGGGATGCGCAAGCTGGTCTGGTGGGCAAGTCATA